GTCTTCAAATGCTTCTCAGTCACCTACAGCTTTATCTGCATGCAAAATATTTTCTAGCTTATTTCCATGAGGCTATGGGGCTTCCAGTTATTTTGAAAAGCCCAACTGAGTAACACCACAAGTCAAGTGATTTGGTTCCTAGTCCAGAAACAATATTTTCAAAATGCCTTGATTCAGCTGAAAGCAGGATGACCACCCACACCCAACTCTTGTAACATTCCTCTGCCCTTCCTCCAGAAGCTGATGCCCTGAGGTGCCCTGGCTTCTCTCCCTCATCTTTCTCCTGCCAAATGGAGTTAGAGATATTTAAAATAATACAAAATATTTGTAGCTTGGGTTTTAGATTTTGGCAGTGGTTTGCTCTTTAAGCTTGTTTCAATTTAGTCTCTGAATGTTTTGTTACCAGGCTAGGTAATATCATCATCAGGATTGTCTTGTCCTACTCTCCTTAACTTATAAATGTCTTGTGTACCAGTGTGGAGTTAGAGATAATCTGGTTCAGTGGTGGGATTCAAATTTTTTTACTACTGGTTCTGTGGGGATGGCTTGGTGGGTGTGGCAGGGGAAGGATACTGTAAAATCTCCATTCTCACCCCACTCCAGGGGAAGGTTACTGCAAAATCCCATTCCCTCCTCACTCCACTAACCTGCTTTCCAGCTCCATTCTCCTGTGCAGGGCAACAAAAGAAGACCCAGCCAATCAGCTGGGACTTGGGAGGCAGAGAATAGATAGAGGCGGGGCCAGTCAGAGGTGGTATATGCTGGTTCTCCAAACTACTCGAAATTTCTGCTACTGGTTCTCCAGAACTGGTCAGAACCTGCTGAATACCACTACTGGTCTGGTTGTGGAGGGATAGGGTTTGCTCTTCTCTTACTGGGAAGCTAAAATGGTGGTGTGATTTGCAAGGGTGGAGGGCCAGATGCTTTCTGTTTCTGGTATTTCCCTATTCAACTGATTGGGAGGACTGCTAGCCAGGGCAAGATGGGATCCTTGCTAGATGATTATGGCAACGGAGAGAAAACTGGCAGGTTCTCTGGGCTGTTTTAACATACAAGCAAACAGTAATTCATGCAATAGATAATTCAGTGGACTAGGCAATCTAGATGGCATTATCTGACTAAAAAAACATCATGTGGAATTCATGATGGACAGAGTAACTCTCTATACACAGATTTATCTGGCGACAACCATCGATTTAAGGAGTCATGGTGGTGTAGTAGTTAGAATGCTGTTGAGGATAATAGGCTGTTTCTGAAAACCACTCAGAGAGGGCTGTAAAGCACTGTGGGGCTGCATAAAAGTCTAAGTGCTATTGCTGTTACTATCTGGTGACAATCATGATATGTGGAATATTGTGCTTTATACAACTTTTCAATGTCTAAGCATCACATTGTCTACTTGTACTATGTACCTTGTTATAAATTTTGCTATTTGTGAATATATAAAGTATAAAAACTTCACCTCCTTGCCCTATTAATCCCTGGGAGCCTTGAGGGCCTTCCATGCCTTCCACACCACGATATCCTTGATCCCCAGCATCACCCTTCTTTCCTTTGTCACCTTTCAACCCTGTAAATAGAAAAAAAATACTTTTTTGTATAGTGTTATTTCTGACATGCTGGACCCTATGATGTCTCCATCTGATGCCGATTCATAAATATTTCAGATGTGTAGTCTGGATTCCTAAAAGGATCAACAAGAGGAGAAGGGTAGTATTTTTCAAATATTAAGAATCATATTGTGAACATAGTAACGTAAAATAAATATGGACAACCTGATGTCTACAGGTCAAATGTGGCCTTAAGGAAATGGCTGTCAATTAAGACTGACTGGAACTTTTTGGGATAGGATATGAGGCAGTGAGCCAAACTGGGAGGAATCCCCAGGGTAAAGCCTACACCAGAGGCTATAGGGCTTATCTGTTTCAGTAGACTTTTAGTTGCTCAAAAGTGTATTCCTCAGACAAACATAGAGGAAACATAGGAAGCCCATAGTTAACGAGGCCAGGAAGGCAATGCAGCACAGGGCTAAATCTTTAGAAAGCAACCTATTCCTAAACCACGAACAAACTGCCCAAGTCACAGCAATTGGCAGTTAGCAGACAGGTACTATCCTAAGTTCAACCTATAACGTAATGCTGATCAACATGCTAGCCATTTATATGTTAACAGCATTTTTACTTATAGCATGAAAAACCTTGTAGTTGCTTTATAAAACAAATTCTGCATATCCATGCTATAATCAGGTCATTGCAATAAATGTAATTCTCATTCTTTCCTCATATATAATTTCTTTGTATGTTTTCCTACAATTTTTATCTGCTTGGTACTTGAGATCTATGTAGGACAAGCTAACAAGAGACCAAAGCAACTATGGGACAAGGATGCTGTTTTGCTGTCAGCCTTCCAGTCTAGAAAATTGTAAATCTTCATAATTTTAGTTCCCAGAGATTCAAAAACGTGTTAACTTCAGATTCCCAGGATAGACACCTGAGAAATTAATGGCTATGTTTACTCTCCCTTCTAAGTACTTTTCAGGCCTGATCCTCTTAATACTGTCACCTACTGAAATTTTTATTGAAAAGCATGTTCAGGGAGAGACACCAGCGATCCCTCCAGACACCAGCGATCCCTCCAAACTAGAGTTCTTATGACTAAATTTCCCACAATTAATTCCATAGCCCCATTAGAAATTATAAGCATTACATAACAAAGCAACTTAGAAGGCTAAACATCTGCCACATTTAAACTTATTACTGCAGATTTCATTTAATTTGGTGATATTGATGATGACAGGCTGGGTTCATTCAACATGGCAAGGCAAAACCAGATCAAAACACAGATATATAAGATCTTACTGTAAGCAGTGAACTCAATCAATGCATGCCATCATTATGTTATTTCAAAACTGAACAAGTTAAGGAGAGCCTTTAGATCATGGCTCTGGAATTCTTTCCAACTAGCAGGAATGATAAGAGATTTCCACATTTTCTTCTGTATAACAAAGTAAAATATTGCATCTGTGTAAATAGATTGTATCTTTGAGTGTAGGTCCTAGGGTGCATTGGAAAGCAAGGGCAGCAGACCACAGATGCTTCACTCTGGGTCACGTGGACAGGAGAAAGGAAAGAAGGGAATAAGGCAGTCAGCAATGTCCCAAGATGTTGTCCAGCTGCTTCTCTCATAGAGGTTCTCTTCAGTAATGGTTTTCTCCACAGACCCAAGCCAGAGCCAGTCCATTTTCAAATCCAATCTTTCCTTTGCTAGCCTCTCCTCCCCACACCAAATTTGGTTCTGCTCTGTTCAGTTTTGTTCAGAGACAATCCTGATTCCTTTTACATCATTTCTTTCCAAAATTCTGTTTAGTTACAAAGAAGAACAAAAGTCTAGTAAAAATGTTGAGTCCCACTGTAGCTCAAGTATACATGTAAGTGTGTCTGTGTGGAGAGAGAAAGGCAGAGAGAGCAGGCTCCATTCTGAGTAGTCCGAATATTGCAATCTTAGTTTTCCATCTGGAAATGAGAATCATTATCATGGTTTCATGGTAAAGATCCTGATTTAGTTAAAGATGACAAACCTACAAAGCACTTGACAATTTATGAATCGCTCTATCTTAATTAAATAGAATGTTCAGTCATCTTCTGTAATGATATTGAAATGCATCAAAGATATTGTAGTCATTCCTAAGTGCATAAAACTGTTAATGAATCTCTTTTCTAGTTAGCTATTTCATCTGATAATGAATTATTCTGTATTATAAATGCACACATATACACATTACACATACATAAATACCTGCTGGTCCAGCTGGTCCAGGAATTCCTTTAGAACCTTTACTTCCTGGCAAATTCATAGTGTCTCCTCTGTCACCTATTAAGCAAGAGATACTTTTAATTTTACCAGTTTCCATCTTTTGAATATATTTTAATGTAAAAACTTGTTAGATAATTTCTTACTATACACATCCAGATTTAGGGAGACATTCTACAAGATTCCCCTCCCCCCAAGAGATTGAGACAGTTTGACTCTTTGATTGGGGAAGAAGTACAGGAACATATTCCAGGAAAGAAATTATGCCAATATTCTGAAATGCCAGCATGACTGAACATAGGGTAAAGAAATTAAGGAATCCTTTCCCCTTAGCTATTCCCTCTCATGTGTCCAAGCAGATATTACATGATGATTAAAAACTCTCCCAATGTTTTCTTATTCTTTATAGAACTTAAAACTAAGAAAAAGAACATTCAAGTTATAAAAAAACTGTATATGATAGTAACATTCCTGCAGGGCACTCGTGTAATAATCTGCATCTGCCAATGGATGGGAACTTATAACACTATATATGAACAGACATCTAGGTTATCACTCTCCCAACCTTTTCTAGGAGATTCTTTATTTATTAGTCTGAGGTAGCTGATCTGTTTTACTCATTCTATGACAAAGTTTTTGTAAGATGTACAAATGCATTGCCCTAAGCTAGGCCATATAAAAAGGGTTGATTTCAAGAAATCTCTTAAGTGAAGGAGTTAAGACGTTTGGTTCTATGGCTCCCTGATGTCTAATCTGTGTCATGCTTTATTCTGTGCATGTATTCTATAATGTTAGGGGAGAATGAGGAAATTCCAAGGTCTATATATAAAACAGAAATTCCTGCAAGAATGAAGGTAGAAAATCACATTTTTTTCTTAAGTAATGCATAAAAATTCAAAAAAAAAAAAAATGAATTAGAAGACAACACACATAACCAAGATACTCATCTTTGCTCAGACAACACTACCCACAAAAACCTTATATGGGGAACACCGAACAAATTGAATAGGTATAAGCTGTCCCTAGCACTTCTGATGGGATATAGAATGCTCTTTGTTGAGAACTCTGCATTAGTTTTAGTACAATACAAAAAGGCAACAGGTAAATATGAAATTATATGAAGAATAAAATGATTCAAGAAACCAGGTTCAATGTCTCTATGTAACTGCATATATGAATTAAAAAACAAACCAACTTAGATTCCTAAAAATAATTGGACTTACCAATTTCACCCAGTTGGCCAGCTTCACCAATCAGACCTGGAACTCCTGGAACACCTTTTTCTCCCTGTCACATTGAAAATGGGCACAATCTTATCAATTAGAATTAATATTGGTTTTATCAGAATTCTGTCATGAGCCTTGATAAGCAGAAATTATAGAATGTGGAGTATGTTGTGTTTTTTTTCAATTTATCAAATTTGTATGCTTCTTGATTCTCAGTTACTCTGGGCAACTCGTAACAACTAACAAAACCAAGGTCTTCAGTATCCTTTGTCAAAGGCCTGCAGAAAAGTCAGGTCTTCAAAATCCTCCAAGTTCCTATTGTATAATTGAAGGGACCTGGAGCAGGCCCGTCCTGCCTCTAGTAACCAGGCTCTATGCTTTAGATCAGGGGTCTCCAACCTTGGCAACTTTAAGACTTGTGGACTTCAACTCCCAGCGTTCCTCAGCCAGCTT